ATCCGGAAGTTTGGGTCCATCCTGAGAAGACAAAAGATGTTAGAAATAGGAAATGGGAGTCTTACATTTCAATGAATAAACTTAACTTAATCATAGCTTCTAATTTCACCTCCTGTATTTTACTTTAAATTACACCAGAACACTGGTGTCTGTAAGAAATGAGGACTATTAGTAATCTGCCCCTTCAAATAGGTCGGTGGGCACCAGATTCCTGTTGTAATTGTCTGAGTAATTAGGGTTCATATATCATACAATGAATGGTGTTTCATGGAGATTCATCCAAGATTTGATGAGATATTTTCATTTCTAAAGCAAAAAAGGACATTCTGTTGGATTATAGCTGTGATCAAGTGTTTACAGTGTTTACAGAATGGTTCAAAATCTTGAGCTGGTTCTCATTTCTTTACATGATGCCTAGCAAACCCATTCGTTGCACATAGACTTGTTCATCCAGAGTTTGGTGCCCTTCAGATGCTCAGATGATTAATCATGAATTCAAAAGATAAAAAAATCCATTCCTCCCAGAATGGTCCAGGAAATGAGTGGAGACTACTAACTTAGTAAAATTCACCTGATTTCCTTGAGCTGATTAACGTGGTCAAGCATCCTTTGTATGTCATCATCTGACATGTCCACACAGATTTCCACCGCAGGTTCACTGGTCTTCAGGCTGAAGTCGGTCAAACAGCTGTGGGAGACAGACTTTTCCTTTAGCGTCTGCAGTGAGAAACGCCTATTTTGTTCATCGCACGAGCGATTTACCTTTTATCCATCTTCTCACAGATGTTCTTGGAGGTCTGGATGTACTTGTCCAGCAGATGTGCCAGCACCTCCACATTCTGGAGTTTGGGAGAGAAGAAGGCTTTGGCCTCCCGTTTAAACTCCAGGATCAGAGGACAGACGCTCCGCGCAGCTGTGATGACCGCCTGGACGTAGTCGAGGCCGATCTCCTGGGGCAGGATCAGCAGCTGGTTCTTGGTGAACACGTGGAGAGACGTGACGGCCAGCGTCTCCGCCGCATCCAGGAAGCAGTCCAGCTCCTCCAGACCTTTCAGCGTGTCC